TATGTATGTATATGCGGTACGATTTTCTCGGTTCACACGGATTTGCGTGACCCGGAAGTTTAAATCAACATTGCGTTGGCCGTACCCGTCGGTTCGACCATCCGGCGGGTCCCGCCCAGCCTCTCCTTGGAGTCTCCGCGCAGACCCGTTTTGGACGCGGGGAAGCGCGGCGGGTGTGGGAGGGCGGAAAACGAGACGTTGGGAAGGGCGGGAAACGGGGCCTGTGTCCGGCTTTACGGAGTCCTCCCCGGGGAAGGGCGTGGTCGCTCGAGGGAAGTTTCCGGACCCCTTCCGGAAATTCGGGGATTCTCCTAGTAGTAACCGCCAGGGAGGTCACCGTACCCAGGTGTGGAGGCGCGGGACTCCGGCGGAGAAGATAGAGGGAAGTACGGCGGACGGGCGGGAGGGCGGGTTGGTCCAAATAATCGTCGGATGGAACTGGGTTCAGAGTAAGATGAGGATCGTAGCCGGCGGCGGGGCGGGAGGTGTGTCGCCGGAAGCGGTCCGATTTTGGGAGAAATCGTCCGAACTTTCCCGCTTCCCTTTTTGGTCATAACGGCGTCTTTTCCCCGAACTTGCAGGCGACGCGCCAGAACTCCGTCTGATCCTGGTGGGCAAATCCGGCGGCGGGAAAAGTGCCACAGGCAACACCCTCCTCGGCCGTAAGGAGTTCGAGTCCTTCGTGGAAGCCAAGACGACCACCCTGCATTGCCGTAAAGCGGAAGCGACCTGGCGGGGGAGGAAGATAGCGGTGATCGACACGCCGGGCCTTTTCGACCAGGAAGTCTACGATGAGATTGCGCGGCGGGAGATCCTGGCTTGCGTGGAGCTTTCCCATCCCGGCCCTCACGCCTTGCTTTTCGTGACCCAAGTGGGTCGCTTCACCGCCGAGGACGCACTCTCCGCCCGCTGCGTCCGGGATATCTTCGGCGCCGAGTCCGCCGAGCACACCATCGTCGTCTTCACCTGCGTGGAGGATTTAGACGGCAGCCCGTTGGAGGAGTACGTCCAAAAATCGGACAACCGCAACCTGCGAGAAGTGATCCGGCGGTGCGGGAACCGCGTCTGCGGGGTCAACAACCGGGCCGAGGGCGCCGAGCGAGAGAGTCAAGTCGCCGAGCTGATGGGGATGGTGCGGAGCACCGTGGCAGCGAACGGAGGCCGATACTACACCAACCGGTTGTACCGTGTGTCCGACGTCTCGGACGAGAACGTCCGGGCGTTCCTGACGGAGAACCAAGCGGTCCGAGAACGGGAAGGCCGGAGATCCTGGAGCCGTGGGGAAATCCTGACCGTCGTCTTGTCGATTCTCGTGGTGATGGGCCTCGTGGTCGTGATTGTTCTCTTGGTCCGCTTTTCGTGAGGCGGGGTGGGGGTGGAGGAGTTTCCCCTGCTCCCCTCTGCGACCGTCAGGGTTTGGACGCCGACGGACGCAGAGATCGACGGATACGTTAGACGTCCGAAACAAGAGCAGCGCCCGGATCGACGGATACGTTAGACGTCCGAAACGAGAGCGGCACCCGGACGGCCTTTCCATCCGGGATCCGTATAGTCCATGGGTCGGAAGGAGGTCCGAGTAGATATCCACACAGGACCCCCAACCACCACCCACCCACTCCGCCCCGTCTCCCGTCAAAGCAACTGCCGGGGTTCCGACGAACGCCCTCGATTGGATTCCAAGGAGTCCAAACGATCTATTAAGAATGGCGGGATGAGGGAGACAAGATGGCCGCCGCCTGTGGAAGCCTTACGGGCTAAAACGGGGCCCACGGGGCCCACCCACCTCCGCGGTTGGAGGATGCGATTTATGACGGCCTCCCCCCTCCGCGGTTGGAGGATGCGATTTATGACGCACCCAGAGGCTCGTGACTGGATTTAGGGTATCCGTCGGAACCCTGGCACTCACTGGGACGGTACCCACCCACCCAAAAAACAATCCGTAGAACTACTAATGCTTACAACACTCCAACTCCCGTAGTAAGGCTGCAGTATTATCCTCCTCCTCGCCTTTCCTACTACGGATATCCTTTTTTTTCTGACGGCAATAATTTTACGGCTTGTGATCTTAATGTTTCTATCGCTTTATGTAGGATTGCTTTCGGCTGCTTCTTGACTAGCCGGGCGTTGTATCTTGATTGTATTTTAGGAGTAGGGTCCCTTGATCGCTGAACTGCTTGTATGTACACTGAGAGCTTCTGCGCGGGAGACGAATTCCTTGTGTATCCAACCACACGTGACTAATAAAGTATATTTTGCCGGTTTTGGCCTAGTCTGTGTTCTGTTCTGTTGTATTTTACTCTACTCTACTCTATTCTAATTCTATTCAATTCTATTCTACTCTACTCTATTCTACTCTAATTCTACTCTACTCTACTCTACTCTAATTCTACTCTACTCTACTCTACTCTAATTCTATTCTACTCTACTCTAATTCTACTCTACTCTAATTCTAATTCTATTCTATTCTATTTACTCTACTTCTATTCTATTCTACTCTACTCTAATTCTATTTACTCTATTCTAATTCTATTCTAATTCTATTCTATTCTATTCTATTCTACTCTACTCTACTCTAATTCTACTCTACTCTACTCTAATTCTAATTCTATTCTACTCTACTATTCTATTCTACTCTACTCTACTCTAATTCTATTCTATTCTATTCTACTCTATTCTACTCTACTCTAATTCTACTCTACGCTAATTCTATTCTATTCTACTCTACTCTACTCTAATTCTACTCTACTCTACTTTTATTCTATTCTACTCTACTCTAATTCTATTTACTCTATTCTAATTCTAATTCTATTCTATTCTATCCTACTCTACTCTACTCTAATTCTACTCTACTCTACTCTAATTCTATT